TTTTCCAAGCCACTTTCCTAAGTCTTCTTTTATTTTTAATGATTTTAGAGAATCTAATCCATGTGGTTTATTTAAACTGTATTAGGACCAGCAGTTAAGTTAGGTTAATGACATTGACTAACATAAAGATTTTCTAATATTTAGAAGTAAAACCATTTATTCGAACACAATTATCTTTTAATTATACATGTTTCAACTAATCCCAGACACTGTTTCATTTGAAACGTTTGTCGAGATTCTTCTAAAAAACCCGTAACTATTATAACAGTAGTATAAAGTGCAATCAATAATGCGCTCTTAAAACCAAACAATCTGGCTACAATTGGAGTCCATTACCAAACAGATAAAAAATAAAACAAAGTCTTTGAAAAGTTTGGTAACCTCTTAGGTCAGTTCTAAAATTCAACGCTGAAGACGAGCCTCGTTTCATCGTTTCTGTAGCGCCGCTGTCCTATTTGAATTGGTAAGCAAAAGGCCATTCATACCTTCGAGAAAACATAATTTCGTATGCGCCATCCTAAAACTATCGCGCGGAAGATCTCCTCGCGCGAGCCCTAAAAACCTAGTTTTTCCAGGGCGTCGTTGTGTCGCGTGACTGTCTAGTTTCACTTGGGATTCGTCCGCTGGTGTTGTTGGCGTAGACTTCACCAGTAATATAGAACCCGAGAGCAACATTCCTTGCAGTTGCTTGTGCTTAGAGTTTTACAGGAACTCCGAGTATTTACTTTGCTCGATGAATTGTAAAAATGGAGAGGGCTTGTGTTTTCATTCTCTTTCTTGGCTGGCTTATGGTGGGTTCGTTCGAATAAGAACTCAGTTTTTTATAATTATTGGGTTGTCCGGAAAGTCCATGTCGATTTTTGGTAGGTGGTACAGGTCTGAATATATCGAAGTGGTTGAAAACAAATAACATGTATACATCCCTTAACACATTAAACGCCACGTCAGCCACATATGGGTGACGGAGCTTTTTACTAAAGAACTTCAACAAGTAATTTAAAGGACTAACTATTGATGAAAGCAGGTCTGGATAGTATTCGTTAATTTTGATGAGAATTAAAAACTAAGTAATAGGACAAATATTAGATTCTATAGTTTCTAATTGTCTCGAGACGAAATTTTAGTTCTGTGGAGACTTCCATGCGAATGAGTGTGGCAGTCATCGTGTTAAAAGGTGGAAAGGATGTGGAACAAAATGACACCTATGTAATTCAATAAATATATTTCAAAATTCAAATGTGCCTTTAAATTTTTCTTAAAAATTGCCAAGAACTTTCCGGACAACCTAATATAATTACTGTCAATAATAAAAAGAATTGCTCAACAAGAGGAGTGACAAATCGTATGATCTTGGCTGCATTGATAATATTATTCCCGATGTGCAGTTGGAGATATAAGAAAAGCGCGAAGAAAAATCGTCCCTGATTAGGTTAATGTCTTCCAGCACCCAGAGATGGGCAAAACCCTAGGCTTCGAATAAATCTGAAGTTTGCCGCCGATGTGTTTGTCTCGTTTCCTCTTTTGAACATTTTCCAAAGAAGGAAACGAGACAAACACATCGGCAAACTTCAGATTTATTCGAAGCCAAGGGTTTTGTCCATCTCTGCCACCAGTGGTATTGGTACAAGTAACCAAGTTATTTGGCGCTCGTTCGTCGTTGTACGAACCCATCACCTTTGGTGGGGTCAGGCCCTCAGGCACAGGTGCCGACCCTTGGTATAAATAAAAGGATTAATGTCTGCTTTACTGTGAAGTATATCTTTCACGCGAGGACCTTGTTTTTCGATTTGCGTTCCAGTCTATACCTGGTCACGATACCGCTAATCCAAACATTTTATATTGGCGACCGTTCAACACGTTTTCCGCCGTGTTTTCGAATAAACTGGAATATTCAAAAAACGACGGTCACCGCGTCGACGTCGCGTGAAACATTTTTATCCCTGAAATTTGTTTGCCTGAAAAAAAGCACGAAGAATCGAGTGAATTAATTAATTCTAGAGGACACTTATTATTAATACCTCTCTTTGTAAATTATTTGTCAGGATTCTTCATAAATTTAGACGATTCGGTCATAAATATATAAAAGGAACGTAAATTAAATTCAACAACGGTTTAAACACTTTATTCTTCACACTTAATTCCACGTTAAATTTATAACTATCGTTTAGGTGGAAATATTTACTTGTCACTATGTTACGTTAAATTGTCTTTGTTACAATGAATCTGTGTACATAACCCAAGTCTCAATCCGATAGGAGGGTTCAAATACTGTTGCTCCTCTAACCGATTACAAGAGTACTCAGTTGATAATTATCAAGTGTAGAAATTAATTCCGTGTCTTTACATTCAATCATTTGTAATTAGACTGCGGATTTTATGCATTTATGATGTACAGTAATATAGAAAACATATATAAAGTATACATAATGCATGTTGAATATATTTATTGTGTTACTTTATAAATGCATAAAGTCTGCAGTCTAATTAGTACTCTTTTTTTAAATAGAAATATTTACCTTCCATTTCGTTACGTTAAATAATAGTAAAACATACAGATTGCTTCAAAATTTAATTTTTCTACATTCTGTGCTCTTTTGGAATGTATGATCAAGGGAAGATTAGAAGTACGCCTTGGAAAAGCACAAATATAATTTCTACACCTAATAATACACTACGTTATAAAATTATCGTATCAAAATTATTCATACAAATTTTGCCATTTTTCACATACGCTCGAGATACGATATTAATTGAAAAACGCACAAATAATTTCGAAATGGCATAACTAGGTCAAAACAAAAATCGTATACTTTTTTTTTTTAAATTGCTTGTTAAAACGTACACTTTGCTCCAGATACCCATGGACTCGCATTCATTTTACATAATCCGTTCCTTAAGTAATCACCGAGAAAATAAGAACGATTTCTTGATACAATACGAATCGATGGAGTTATTTAAAAAATGTCAAAAGTATAATGAATAATTTTGTCGCGTGTATTAAAGGAAATCGAAATTTTCGAAATTCCTTTGAAAGCGCATCTTTGATAACAAAACGCATCTTTGATAACAAAACGCATCGATAAGCGCTCGCGGAGAACAGCCAAGCTCGACAGAGCGTTTTTGGCGCGCGAGCAACGCGATCGCCGACGTGGTTTTTTGGCGAAACGCGATTCTCTCGCGCGATAACAGGGAACCGCCGTCGCTCGCGTATGATACTCGTCCGGTCGAAAATATTATCGAATGCTCGGAACGGGGAAGGGAGAGTCCGGAGAGAAACCATCCCCTTTAAGAGATGATAGACCTTAAAGTCCCACCGTAACTCGTTTCTTCCCTCGGATTTCCACGAGAGATATTTCATTATTCTAAATATATCGACGGGGCGCGTACGGGACCCGCGTAAATGGAAATCGCCAGTTCGCGTGTGTATACTAACCCAATTACGTGCGCGGATTCCCGGCGCTCTGATGTGCGCGCGGCTACCAGCATTTAGGAATCCGCCGGCTGTTATTAGGATGCGTATCGACATCAATGGGAGTCCGTATTAATGCGCGCGTTACGCGATTTAATTTTAGATAACCGCGCGGATCGCCGGATAAACAGAGAGACCGTGTCCGATGGACGAGACTTATGCCACCGATGCGTGTAAAATGTTGCAAATCTACATACAGCTAGTGTACTAAGTATTCGTACAGCAACCAATACAAAATGAAATTAATAAGAAAATGAGAGGCTAACGTTAAAAGTTAATTTAACACTTTAATTTATGCAAATTCTACTCTGAAAATACGTAGGAATGTTGGTTGATTATTTCTTCCCTTACAATTTATTAATGAAATAAATACATGAAGTTTTATTTTGAATTGGTTTCTGTACGAATACTTATTACACTCACTGTATATGTTTATGTACAGATATGCGTAATATATTTGAATAGAAATGTTTTTAAGCATTAGGTGTACAAATGAATTCTGTGATTTTACGTTGAATCATTCGTAACTTTGGATTACGTATAAATATTGACTCGTTATTTTGTTACGTTGAAGTACCAGCCTTCTAAGTTCTCGATCTCATCTCCGTTGCGATAAATGCACAACTTAAGTCTTAACCTGATGACCATCACAACGTGTATGTATAGTGTTACCGTTCGATTCAGCGTAAAAAATACATCAAATCCAATGTCAAGACAATTTTAAAGTGGCAAGCCAATTTTTGTGGAGAAATGTCGATTTTCACCTAAAAATGCACGTTTTTCTACATTCAAACGTCCTTTTCTCTTTAAACTACTACTGTACAATTTTGTTTATGTCTATACCATTGAAAAGCTGAAACTTTGAGTACCGTTTTCCCGTAATAATGTAAAATACGTAAAATACTGTCATTTTGTGTAGTCCATTTGACTGTAACCAAAATTGACTGTTTCGTTGTTTTCTCAACATTTTTTTTTTTTTTTTACCACTACCAGTGCTTCAAATTAATGCTGATTGCACAGAACTGTTCAGAATCGCTTAAATTTGAATTTAAAAAGAGAAAGTGATTTTTTTTCATTTTTTGATGTTACAAGCCCCTTAACTGCAGAACACCCTGTATTTATATATTGTTTACATGTCGAGGATTAATAAAATATATATACGTTTATACATATATGTATATATTCAATAAAATAAAATATATTTATTTCACGTGGCGAAACGAATTTATATGGATATTTTTTTTGTTTAATTGTATTATATTATAATATAATTGTAAATATATATATTTTTTATTTCATTGAATATATACATATATGTATAAACGTATAAAAATATATATATTTTTTTTTAATTAATATTTTTAATAATTTTTTTAATATATTATATTTTTAAATATATATATATATATATTTAATAAAATGTATGTATATTTTATTAATCCTTTGCGGTCAAAATTTCCTGATAGACTATAAAGAGTTAAGATGCGGAGAAATCCCTTTTCGGTACACGTTTCACGTATACACCACCGATACTTGTGAATATAAGTTAAAATTAAAGAACCACAATTTAAGTACCCATTGTAATGGCATGGGCCTACGGTGTGTGTGTGTAGAGGGCGTGAGTGCGGCGTGGAGAGCGACGGACACGTGTAAGAACGGGTATATTGCAACAAGTGTGAATCCTTATCAATCCTTAGTGTAATAAATATATTACTTATCTAAGTCATTGACACATTAATACATGGTGTCAGAAGTGATCGAATCTAGAAAAAACTTAAGCTTGGCACTTAATAATCATACTAAATAAGGAACAGAATAAACATAACCTATGAACACGTGGTTAATTCTGAATTTATATAGAAAAAATGAACAGTTTTAAGCCACCAGGGGAATTGGACCTGAAGGAAAATGCAGGCAATAATCTTAAATCCTTCAAACAAAGATTTGAAATATTTATTACCGCAATAAGTGACAAGGAATTAAAAGAACCAAGGAAAGTTGCAATGTTGTTGATTTGCATGGAAAGTAATGCACTTGATGTGTTTAATACATTTGGATTGCAAATGGAAACCCCTACCGTGAGACAAATATTTGAGGCATTTGAGGAATATGTAAAACCTCGGGTAAATATAATAATAGAGAGACACAAGTTTCACACGAGACGTCAACAAGTGGGTGAACCATTTGACACATTCCTAACAGATTTGAGGAAATTGGGGAAAAACTGTGAATTTGGAGATCAAGAAGAATCCCTCATAAGGGACGGGATAGTCATTGCTGTGAGCGATGAAGGTCTCCAGCAGCGTCTCTTACGAGACCCCAATCTCACACTAGTAAAGGCGATTGAAAATTGAAGAGCAGCGGAGATGAGCAAACTCCAACAATGCTCATTGAAACTTGAAAATGCAACAACAAATCTGGTCAATATTGACGTCATTAAGAAACAACCTAGTAAACAGGGTGGATCTAAATTTAAGAAATCATACCAGAAGAAAAAGGATGTCCAGCAAATCTATGACTGCAAGAAATGTGGATGGCTTCATAAGTGAGCGAATTGTCCAGCATTTGGTCAGATGTGCAACAAGTGTGGGAAGAAGAATCACTTCGTGGTGGGCTGTCAAGCTACAACTAAGTCCAGAAACATCAGTGAGCAGAAAATCATTTATTTTCCATATACAATAATGTATTACAAACAATGGTCATTATTGCGAACATTTATAAAAATAAAGTAGTTCAACCAAATATTATATATTAAATATTATATACATTAGATACAAAACCATTATTCATTATATATTATACATTATATACAAAATACCACGAACTCAGGCAGATCGCCAACATTTATATTTTCATATTCGCGCATAGAAAACAAATTTTCTCTACTCGTTCACATAATAACGATGTTCGCATTACAGTTACCACATTGCCAGCAGTAGAAAATAGTCTTTCACTATATACTTGGGTACCTGGAACTCCTAAAATGTTCCGAGCTATCGCTGACAATTGTGGAAAAATGTTTTTGTTGCCTTTCCACCAACTCAAAATACACGTTTTTGATGGTTCAAGTTTCGTTTGAAAATATTTATGGCACTCTGTAATCGCAGAAACATCTGATGTTTCTGCAGTTTCTTCGCAGGAAATAGTATTTAAAAATTCGAAGAGGAAAGGTGCGTCAGTTTTATCTCAAAAAAAAAGAGAAGAAGGAAATATGCATATAATTCTGTAGTTTTTGAATTCATGTGGTTTATATGGTTTATTTTTATGCTTTAATCTAGCATTGACATTAACATAGTACATACATGGTATTTCCATCGAAGGTATAGATGATCTTTGAGATGCTGTGCTAGTGGTATCGGAGTATTTCAGGACTGTGTCCTCCAATAATTTCCGTGCGTTTATTCTTGTATTTTCGTCCAATAATTTATCCTTCACACGAGGGTCCGATATCATAGAGAGTGTTAATAAATCATTAGAATGTACAAACTGAAATCTATTGATAAGCCCATTTAATAAGTGGTGGGGGAGACTATTATCTATTTCAAAGGTCTGATGTATTATATCTGTTAGTGTTTTTTGTATGCCGTATACAATGGGTACATATCTACATAGGGTTGGGGAAGATTCTTCCGACATAATAAGTGTTGCTTCCTTGAGTATTTTTAGCGTATCACAATAATGTTTAATTAGGCACCATTCGTAGCTAGACAAATTATCCGGCATCCGTGGCTCACATAATACTGAACTCAACGCATGTTTTATTTGCAGCAGAGGATGCAACATGTACTGCGAGTTCCAACGTGTTTCCACGTCGCCTATTAATTGAAGCGGAGTAGAATTCGGGAACTCCTTTTCTTGTGGCCGTTTTAAACATTCCTCCGCAGTTGCCGACCGATGAAAAAATGTGACTATGTTATGGCATTTTTTTATTGTTTGGCACATGTCCAGACAATTTTTTAATGCGTCTTTTATAACAAGCTGTAATAAATACAAGAAATTTAAATTATTAAATTATTCATAATTAATTTCAATTGTTCAATATTTTGATTCATTTACGTACCTGCAAAGTATTGGAAAAGCGTGGAATCCTTTCCCATTCTGCTGTAAGCTTCACAGCTTTAACAATGTTTACTATTTTTCTATTCGGTGAATTTTCACCCCACTCATTCATGCATTTGATCAAAAATGCATTTAAATTTTCTCCGGTATGGGACTCCGGAAATGACTGAATTTCCAATGTGCTATTTTTTATTTCAAAATCAGTGTTAACGTAGTGTAACGTTACACTAACGTAACACTGGTTTGCACGTGATGTCCATTCATCTGTGGTACATCCCACGATATGAACATTACCCTAAACAATTGAAATACGTTATATAACTATAGAAATAGAAATAGAATAGAAAAGAGTCGTTTAGATACCAAGTTAGAAAAGATGATACTAACAATTGTAATTGTAATATTTTATGTATTTATCATTACGTAAGAAATGCTAAAATCGGTTCATAGATGTGAAATTTGTACCATAATGTGCTTACGTTGACTAAATCTTGCTGAATTGTTTCTTCTAATTTCCTTCTTTCTGTGTGGTACATTTCTGGAATTATATTGTCCGCGAAGACCTTGCGCGATGGTATGTTGTACCTAGGCTCTGTCACGCTCATTAAGTTTTTAAAGCCTCGATCCGAGACAATAGAAAAGGGGTTGGCAATCGAAAACAATCGTTTGGGCAATCGCCTTTGTTATTTGTTTCGCCCTCGATGAATCCTTATCCAATTTTGGTAACTCCGCTAGTGCTGCTACGTTTGGTGGATTCTCTGTTTGTAACACCGGTCACACTATACGCGTCGAACACTTGCTTATGGTATAACTGGACATGCCTTTTTAGGCCAGTAGCGCGACCCGATTTCATTTTAATTTTCTTAGTACACATTTTACAGACACTTTGTTCGCGATTTAATTTTGAAAACCATTGCCATACAAAACTTTTATTTCTTCTACTTCTATTTCGTGTGTCTGACACACGATCTCGTCTCGTCTCGGTTTTTTCGAGATCTCGGCCAGCTCTCGAAGGAGGAGATATAAATAACGCCTTATTAGAGTATAGAAACATGCCATTAGCAGGATTGAATGTTTCACCGGCTGAACTTACACACCTACGGTGTGTGTGTCTGTAGAGAGCGTGAGTGCGGCGTGGAGAGCGACGGACACGTGTAAGGTCGGGTATATTGCAACAAGTGTGAATCCTTATCGATCCTTAGTATAATAAATATATTACATATCTAAATCATTGACACGTTGATACATATATATATATAAACATGAACAATTAATACGAAAGAAAGTAAGACAATGCAGTTTTACTCCGTACGTTTAGGTTTTTTATTAAAACGTATCGATCGTATTTCATATTTATTTCACGGAAAAAATAATATTACTGTCGGGTTACTCGGCGAGAACTGCGAACGCGTCGCGATTAAAGAGTTTTTTAATCGTCGCCGGGTCCCGACAGCCGCGAATTAACAATCGGATGGCACAGCTGTTTCAGAACTGAATATCAACATGGAGGCAACGGAGCAGGAGAAGCCGCTGGTCAAAGACTTGAACGAACATATCGTGTGCCCTCTCTGCAGAGGCTACCTCATAGACGCAACGACTCTCGTGGAGTGTCTGCATTCTTGTTAGTATTCTTAGCTTTTTCCATAAATCAAAACGCTTGGCCATCATCGATCTGAAGGAATCTCTGCGCGTCCCGAATCGCATGTCATCCGCTCATTACCATTAATTTGCAATGGAAAGACGCACGGGTGTTCGAAAGTCGCGATATATCGGTCGGTGGCGACTCTAACGCGTGGCGAACTTGTCCGAACGCTCTCGAGACATTTCTTTGGACTATCGGTCTTTTCAGCAACAGTTTCAGTGACCAGAATTTCGTTGGAGTTCGCTCGAATTATTTAAAACAGGGAATAAAATTGAATGATTCGATGAAATCGCAATTGGATAAAATATAAACACTTTTCGATTTGGTATGTTTCGTATAAACGCTGTGGTCGTATTGTGTTTGACGTTGAATGTTGACTTATAAATTGCGAAATCGTTACACAGAGTTTTTATTCGCTATTTAACAATTTTCCTAAAAGTTTCAAATGCTCGGGCAGAATTTTATTCGAATAATAGACAGGATTAAGGTCAACAAATAGCGATTGATTCATGATGTTCATTCGACCGAACAGATACATTTTTATTTCTTCGTTGATTCTAAAATTCCTTTTCTTTTTTTATCTTTTATTTTTACCTTTCCCGCCGATAGGAGATTTTAATTGTGAGGCGCTCTACAAATGCGCGTCGCAGTCGACTCAATTTGAATATTTCTTGTTGAAAAAATTTCTACAGACTACTCAAATATGTATGAAAATAGGATAAAAAGTTCGACAGAATTAATTATTTTGTTCCGTCCTAAAAAAATTCACGAAAAACCGCTTTTTTTAAAGCTCCTAATTCAGGATGCTCCCTTAACGGGAATGACAGTATTATCGAAATTTCGGTTGAATCCAAAATATTACTTCGAAAAGTCAGTGATGGGCAAAAGGCTAGGCTTCGAATAAGTCTGAAGTTTGCCGATATGTTTGTCTCGTTTCTTTCTTTGGAAAATGTTCAAAAGAGGAAACGAGACAAACACATCGGCAAACTTCAGATTTATTCGAAGCCTATGGTTTTGCCCATCTCTGCGAAAAGTATGGTATTTGGAATGGGATGCGTGCATGAAACAGTCCGTGCGTTTGTCCTCCCCTCTGGCGGGGTGTCTAAATTCAAGGAGGGTGACTAACCGCCCCGTTCTCTCCGTAGAGCGTTCTAATTCGCTCGAACCGACCGAGCAGAGATTTCGTCGTGGCGGTCAAAGTTCCAGCAAAATATTATGTTATCGCACACGTAACACGTTTGTTTTTACACTTTCCTCGATACGTAAATTCGGAAACATCGTTCTCCTAGCGATTCATTGGTATCCATTGGGTTATTCACGAGTAGTTTTACGTAATCTACGCGCATATTTTATCCTTAATAACTGACAAGAAAATCTTAACGAACGATTCCAGAGTATTATATAATCAATTTATATTTAATCGTAATTTAACTGTGATGGCTTTAGATGCGATGGCGTCAATATTATAACTAGACTGCCGGCGTTTATGCATATTCATATTTTTCCGAATACAGGAAATGATATAAACTTAAATGGAAGTATATCGTATCTTCTAAACGGTATAACACGTATATTGCTCTTAACGCTTTATACGTATGTTTTTGTTGGATTGGTAGATTTTTCCATATTTCCACTTAATGCAAATATTAGGTTGTCACAAAAGTTTCTTTCGTAATTTGCACTCAATTATTTTGTGCGGTAGTGTTTATATAAATAGACAATCTAATTTCATAGATATTCATGTTGTAACAGTAATGAAGCAAAATGAATCGTACACAATTCAATAATGTAACATTAGACATAAAATATTGTGTATGTATTACTTATTAATAAAACGAAAGAAACTTTTGGGACAACCTAATATGTAAACATCCGCAGCGTAATTGTAACACGTTGTATGGTCACTGTGCTCTCGATATGAACAATTATTTGGTATACAAAAATTACGCGATCTACGGTTTATCAGCTCCTGCAGGTTACTCGTGAATATCTCCAATATCAAACGTGAAAAATAAATTTTGTATAAACGCTTTGAATCGCGAAAAATGCTGTAAATGCTATGCAATGCATCTTAGAATTAATAATATTCGTATACTCTTGATTTTCTCAGGTATAGTTTTTTATTAAACATATTTATATAATAGTATATGGAATATTTAGTTAAAAAATATCGGTATTTCGTCGGTATTACAATTAAACAATGCACTATTAACACATTCGCGACCGATTACGTGAATTCACGTCACTTCAAATTCTATTTCCGGTTATGAAAAAATTATGAATATCGTGTTATTTTATACACTACATATTCGCAACATCGATGTTTCAAAATCTATTTTGTGATTTTTATCTTCACTCTAACCGCCTGTCGAGAGTTAATACTATTTATACTGAATGAAAGCCAAAAGCGACTCCGTTTTTACTATTTTTATCGCACGGTCCTTAAGGTACATGTTCCGTGGATTTATTTAATGTAGGATTTCAACAAAACTTCACTGGCTCGATTAAATATGAATCATACGATTCCGATTTAAATTGACCACTCCAGTTTTATGATAGCCGATATAAAAATTTTGTAATTTTAACCCAGACCCTTATGGTAGAATTTCTTCAATTCAAATCAAAATCCAATTTAGAAATTTCCTGTGAATTTGATATATTATAAAAACCGTTACTATAAACAATTTCAAAAAAAGAACAACTATAGATCACATCGTCACTGAGACGTAATTCATTAAAATTTGAAACTGACCATAGAGAATATTACAAATGCATGTGCAGATATACATATCGATTTATTATCATTGTATTTTTGCGAATGTTTCCAATCACATTTTCGAACGTGACTATCTCGAAACGAATATCTCAAAAAAAAAAAGAAAAGAAAAGAAAAGAAACAGACTTACTTATATGGAATGACTCGACGGAAATGTAAAACATCTACGAGCTTAATGTACGAGGCGAACGACGTTCAGTTTGCAGAGGTTGCATTGTCAGAAGGTTGAGCAGCGGTGCCCGAGCGTGTCCCGTATGCAACGTCGCGACGTCTCCGCCTCTCTTGCCGGACGTAAAGCTACAACAACTGGTATATCTCGTGGTACCAGGCCTCTTCCGGTCCGAGCTCGAACGGAGGCGTCACTTCCGGTTGGTGAACCCGCAATGTCCACCTTTAGTCCCGCCGTTGGGGGCCCTCGACTTGACCTTGGACGATTTCGTAAGCCTGAGCCTCTGCGAGCTCGGCGAACCGGAAGAAGAAGTGGACGGTCAATCGGCAGAGAACCACGACGCGTCGCGACATCGAACGAACAACGACGAGACGACGAACGAAGACGGGAATCGGGTTAGAAATACGCGGTACCTAAAGTGTCCGGCTGGGGTGACGGTTCGACACCTCCTGAGACTGCTGATGCTGAAGAGAGGCTGGGAAGAGACGAATCCTCACGGGGCGAACGTCAATGCGATAGAGATGCTGTGCGAAAAGTATAACGAGGACGGTGGCGTGGAAACGATGGTTTTGGATCAGTCTTGGACTCTGCTGGACCTTGCTCGCATATTCGGCTGGAAGAGAGTGAGTTTTGTTATTCAGTTCTTTTATTTTGTAGAGTAACGCTGTGTACACTCGTGGATTAACACATTGGTCGCTGCAGAATTATGAAATGGGTGACAGGACTTTTCATTATGAAACAAAGAGAATTAATTCGGAAGGTGAGACGATAGTGGAATTAAATCTGGAGAGGATTCGTGAATTTAGGGACGTTCAAAAATGAAATATTAGTTTGTCCCGAAAGTTTCTTTCGCGAGTTGCACTCAATTATTTGATGTGGTCGTGTTTATATAAATAGACAATCTAATTTCATAGATATTCATGTTGTAGCAGTAATGGAGGAAAATGAATCGTGCACAATTCAGTAATGTAACATAAAACATAAACTACTGTGCATGTATTACTTATTAATAAAGCGAAAGAAACTTTTGAGACAACCTAATACTACGGCTAACGTTGGATTATCTTGTAATGGTATGTGTGTGGATAGATGGCGTATAAGAGGGAGACATGCTTTTGTATCTAACTATACTGGACATTGTAACGTCACTGAATAAAGTAATAATATTTCAAACACATTAACAATACAAGTATAGTTAGGTACAAAAGCGTGTCTCCCTCTTATACTCCATCTATCCACACACATTTCATTACACACACATACCATTAAAATCTAATTTTCGACGATCTCGAGACTAAAATTTCAACTTTGTAGATCGCGAGTGGATCAGCCTGGTAGACAATGTGTTAATTCATTAGAGGCACTGGGGAGTACAAATGAGTTTTAGGTTTAAGGAATCAATCAGTATCAATATTAGATAAAACATGTGCTATTTAGCTAGCACTTTAAAATCAGTACTATTATTAATAATGTGTATTATCTAGATATTGATCGTTGTTTAGTAAGGCCGATCGCACACGGCGCAACCGATTTGAAATTAGTGTTGCAAACCGTTTGCGCTCTTTGTTTTACCTACTGAAGAATTGGATCCACGGTTGCATGCAACTAAATAGTTTCAAACCACTCTGAGACTTGTTGCATGCGACCGTGGATGTAGGTAAAACAAAGATCGTGGAGTAGGTAAAACAAAGATAGTGGAGTAGGTAAAACAAAGAGCGCAAACGGTTTGCAATACTAATTTCAAATCGTTTGCGTCCGTGTGCGATCGGCCTAAGTTTCAAACACTTACTTTGTATTTTTGCATTGAAAACAACAAACAGCTCTAACGCCGATACTGCTTCTAATTTCTAATGTTCTTCCGTAAAGATATAGACAATTTATCTTAACCCTCTGTTGCACAATCTGTTCAATTAAGAACCGAGGAGATTTGATGAAATTCACGCATGATATTTTCTTACATGGATATCCGGTAACTCTGTAGATTATGCAGCTGTTCAATGTTCAATTTGAGTACTAATTAAATGACGGATGTATAAATAACCAAGAAGATCAATGATTCTTAACCCCTATTCCGCGAACGAGAAATACGATTTAAAGAATGCTTAAGTGTAGATCACAAATATTTTCAAATTTTGTTAGAAGACTACAATATATTATTTTAAACATTTTCGACCGTCGTCGAAGTCTTCTTCGACGAGCAAGACGTTATCTATAAAATAAAGAGAGCAAAACATATAATAGTTTGACATTTTGTTGATACAAAAATAGTATAATTACTGTTCATTATTATATCATCGTTTATTTTTATTTTCTAGATATTTTCTAGATTCTATTTTGAAGGGAACGTCGATGAACGTCGGGAAAGCATACGATACTAAAACACTTGAAGTTATTGTTACTACAGTTAGTTATAATTAAGAACTATGCCGTGTTTTATTTCCTAAACAGTGACACGAGTTTGAAAAAGTTAAAAACGTTTGCAATAGAGGGTTCACGATACTTGTGATCTTCGGCCATATATACTTATAGACGCGGCTTCGGATAAATGTAGCAAAGATAAAATCATCTATGTGACGTCGCATAAATGTAAAGTAACGATGGAACTCTATCGTTGAGTCTGTATATATATTTTGCTTACATAATGCTTGCCATAACGCTCTTTGGAAATTGTAATTCTGAAATATTAAATTTAAATTATAATATTATTCCCTTATAATTTGTTTTCGTTTAAAAAATAGTAAAAACAATACACAGCTGTCTAGAGTAAAGTTATTTATTTATCGATAATTATTAGTTATTATTAATAATGTCAAAAAATTATTTAAAACAGTGCAGCCTCAATTATTTCATCTTTGCAGCACGTGTCTGATACAATTTATATATTCGAGAATTAAGCAGTATCCGCCATTTTGAACGATCTAGAAATATTATCTTGTAACGTCACACGAGGGCATCTTTTCCCAAAAGAAGGAGGATACTCAATTCGACATGTATATATTTCATTTTCTTCATTTCGATTCGTAGATTCGCGTATACAAGCCTAAGTGTCTATGAGTATGTACGGTCGAAGTTTACGATCATGTGTCGCTAGTCGCGCACTGATCTTCGCCTGCGACGGTAGATACCATAGGGGAAGCGATGATCTTCTCGTTCCAGGAAGAGCCGATGAAGCTGTTTTACCGTGTGGCGCGGAAGCCGGAGCTCGTCTCGGTCCCCAAAGTGAGTCCTTACAACGACGAGAGGACCAAGGATGCCGCTACTATGGAAAATATTCAAAGGCCGCCGACGCCGCCTCCGAGTCCCAAGCCGGCACGGGAATGCGAAGTCGAGGCTTGTAGGATTTTAGAAAGTAGCGCCGAGCCGCCTCGGTCCCTGGAGACGAATCTGGAACGCGACAAAGAGTCGAAAGCGAAGAAACCCCGTTGCGAGGTGACGCCCGTCATAAGGACGCCCGATCTCGTGCCGATGCAGACGAACCACGCGCCGGAGAGTTCCAAGACCAAAGAGTTAGCCAGGCTGGAGCACCGAAAACGTAGGAAACGACGAAACAAGCGTGTGATCGCCGAAATCACTACAACACCCCGGGAGGATCTGTTGAAGTTGAAGGTTCGTCTGACGCCCTGCCCGCCGAGGATCACGTCGAGCACCGGAGGAGGCCAGGCAAAAGAGAAGCTGTTGCAGATGCGTGCCGTTAGAAGAGAGAAGATCAAAACCACCGCGATAGGTCAGCAACGATCGACGAGTTCGTCTGTTCGAGACGAGGTCCCGGGAGCGAAGGAAAACCTCGGGGAGAGCGAGGAAACGATAGAGGAGATTATAGACAGCATCCCGGACGAGGTGGTTAGAATCGCACAAAACATAACTACTCCGATAGAGGAGACGTCCGCGGCCACCGAGCGAATAGAGCAGCGGAGTGCTCCGTCGACGTGCAGGACATCGTCCAAGTCGAAGGAAGCCGAGACCGAACCAGAGACTGCCAAGGCCGCGGAAGAATCCGACGCGGAACGTCCGAAAAAAGACGAAGAGATCCTTCGACGATTGGGCCTGGTGGCGGTGAACGAAGCCAACGACAAGACGAAGCAACGCGTGCAGAACAACGGCGAGAAGATCGAGAACTTGGACCGGGAGAAGCTCGAGAAGCAATTGCGCGAGAGCAAAGCCAATCGAGTGAGAAGCCTGCTGGCCGAGAAGCAGATGCGCGACGCGTTGAAGAGCATTATGTCGAAAACAAAAGAAGAGCAACCATCGCCAGTGCAGGTTAACGCTGTACCAAAGAAAAAAGGTCCGCCGCCGCTGGCGCCCTTACGCGTGGCCAAGCCTTCCGGCTTCGCCACGTCGAGCGCCATTTTGGAACCGAACAATTCGAAATACGAGACCCCGTTGGACCTTAGCAGCGGTGGAACCGTGCACAACAACGCACTCGATTTATCGGCCAGTTTGTCTACCAATAGTTTCTCGTCGTTACCCACCTCGTCTTCGCTCTCGTCTTCTACTCCTTCTCCTTGTTCCTCTTCGTCCTCTTCGGCATCTTCGTCCTGTTCTTCCGTGCCCTCGCTGAATCCTAGAACACCGCGCGCGACGATCGGTTCCGGAGGCCTGTTACGAGCGAAGCCGAAGAATCTGGATCAACGAAGGGGCCAGGAATCCAATCTGGTCACGCTTTCTGACGCGGCTGTATCCTTGCTGAGCGGCTGCATCACCGACAAGAACTCCGTGGATCCTCTTGCTCTCGGCTCGGCCAATATCGCTAGCAAAGTGGCGCTTCGAATACCGCAACCGCATCAGAGAATCTCCGGTTTCGGAATGAAAATCAAGCCAAACCTCGGCGTCAGGCACATACCTAACCCACAGGCGGTCGTTGCTTCGCAGTACAGAAATCAAAGGGCCGGTTACTTCAACACAGCCTCGCAACAGCCGCCGTAAGCGGAACGCTCGCAATCCACCGACGCCTCACTCTCCCGTTTCCCCTACTTTTTCCATTACTTCCTACTATCATATTATTACACGTGTAAGAACGCTCCTACAGAAACGAGATTCCTATGTGACCAATCCAAAGGCTGTACGTTACCACATACTTTCTTATCCCGCTTCCTCCGAAGCAGGCCTGGGCAATTTTATTTAAATACAAGTACGTGTAGCAACTCGGATATTTGTTCGGTCGTTTACTTATTGGAACGTTATTTGGAAATTATAGAGATATTTGAGGTAGTAAGTATTTCAGACGATGAAAAGTTGATTCACTGTTTGAAACGACAGGTATTTTAGCCTCTTGAGGAATATTGGCATACACCCTCGTTCATAAGTATGTGGACACTTTCTTAATGGAAAGAAATATCTGATAAAAGTTGTGAATCTATTGGTATCAATTGTATCATTTATGTTTCGATATGTTTACGTTGCGAAGTAATATTATCTCATTTATTTTATAATATTACGCCATAAGTATTTTTGATATATTGAACATTCGTTCTGAACTTTGCTATCTAAACGATCCCATAGTTCCACTATAAAATTGAATATGCCACTCAAAACATTTAATATCATTAAATGTTGTTTAATACAATGTAGAATCCGATGTAGAATTTGGCAACAAAAGTTGTATAGTAATAATTTACGGTGTATATTAATTATTCATTGAAGGTAGTAAGTGTCCACAATATTTATGAGCGAGGGTGTATACAAGGTGAGCCGCGTAATGCGTTCCAAGCTATTTTCCGAAAGTATTAGTGATAATTAATTATTACACTGGACAACTTTTTAATACAATATCTTTAAACTATGTTTACATTCGTCTTAACTGTGGCTGGCCACTTTAACATTTAACCCTTTAGCAAAGGGTTTTACTTTGAAATAGCAAGCATCATTTGCTACATTTGCTTACAACGTCACCCAAAATATCCTATCAAGAATCAAAAACAAATAAAATCGATTCGTTATTCCGACGCCGAATTATTTGAAAGTTGTATCACGAAAGAAGATAATCATATGTCAAAAAACGGAACATTCGTGGAATAAGAAATCACGCCAGGTAACGTTATTTCAAAAGAGCCCAGGTCTGCAGTAAAGCCACATTGGCACGCGCGAAAACACGTGCTCTAGGTACCGCCACCGAGAGGAACTGTCTCGCGCGATTCGCGCGTAGGAATGCGGCTTTACGTTTCACAAAACGCGACGAGTTTCGCGTGGGTGCGAAGACGCACGGTACACCCGCGGTAGCAAGGACTAGAACGTCGACTTGGTGAGTGAAAGCGAAGGAAAAGATAGCGATATTTAATACGGCGAGAGTAGGCAACGTGAAATGTACATCCGTTTCACGGGATAACGTTTTCAGACGCGAGCGACTGTTTCATCGAAAAATCGGTTTTCCGTGTGTCTTCGCTCTTGACAGGGAAACGACGACGGTGTTCGATCCGTTGTCACACTGGTCGGCTGAAGAGAATGCCCCTTGGAAGAAATTACAATTTAGCAGGACAGACACTCGGATGTATAGATAGGACGAAGCGACAGGCAAAGCTACTCCAAATGACGTTGAAATTTCGACTCGGGTTTGATTCGATTTCGTATTATTAATTCTTTAACCTGTAACAACGTCTGAGACTCGTGATACGGAGTTTGAGTCGAACTTGAGAAACACGAGTCGGACGTGTCGCATAAAAAGGCGCAAGGAATGTTATACCTGATCACGGCTCGCACGATCCTACAGTAAATCGTAGGCCAAAGGGTTAATGATTACAATTATTGGACTTCGACATTCAGGATGTAATATTTCAAATTTGAAGCGTATAGGGATACGTTGGGACAAAATAACTTGAAATTTTTAGTCCAAGTATTGAATAGTTAGGCCGATCGCACACAGGCGCAACCGATCAGTTTCAAACCACTCTGAAACTAGTTGCATGCGACCGTGGACTTTGGTAAAACAAAGATAGTGGAGTAGGTAAAACAAAAAGCGCAAACGGTTTGTAATACTAATTTCAAATCGGTTGCGCCTGTGTGCGATCGGCATTACAGATCTTCGGTTGACGCAAACCCGAGGTCTGAAAGTCATTTGAACCAAGCTTCCCTGTGTGAGACCAATAAACGAAGGTCTGGTTCGATAAAGGTTATTTCTCTATTTGTTAAAATCGCCTAAATGAACAGAAATCATCATCGGATCAGGCATGATCGCTATAATTCGACGTTGAGTCGTCATCGGCAATACCGATTAACGGTAGCGTTTGTAATTCGGATTACGACATTGAGTCGTCATCCGGCAATACCGATTACACGTAAATTATCGATTAGAGCCATTATTATCAGGAGAACGCGACTATCCGCGGGAATATTTTCTCCCGCGAGCGAGAATCTCTCCGGGGGCATTCTTTACAGTTCCTCGCAGTACCTACCTAGACGAGTTAAGCTGCGTATGTTTGTAATACATGTATGCGTGTCTATTAAACAGAAATAGTATCCGTGTTTCGAGCCGACCAGCGATTTCTCGAGAAGAGTCGTGAATTTGGCGAACGGCTCTGTATTTGGAGTGGCGCAACGCCTGACGGAGATAGATTAGACGTATATAAACGTACGGTTAGGGGTCGTAGAGATGGTGTAGCGGGTGAATGATTAGGAATACGGTGGACGGATGACTGACAAAGCTTTTCTTGTCCCTCCCAATCGTGTTGTCTCCCCTTAGAGAGACAAAGGGATATGTACTTCATAGAGATGCCAAAGAACGTCGGAGAACGTGTGCAATGTATTAGTGCAATTTAATTATCGTCTATTACAATATATAAATATATATATATATATATAGTATATTATAGCCGGTTTAACGCGGTGTAAGACTGTAAGGTTCGATTCGAGGTTAAAAAAAATGGGGGTAGACGCTAGTCGTGGGCGACGAAATACGCGCAAATCGCATGGACGCGATTTCAGACGGTCCCTAGAAAATTATACAAAATGTCGGCAGGCATAACTCGCGAAAGCCACGGGAACGATCTTTTATAATTCGAAGCTGCTGGAAAGTTCCGTGAAATTTGTCCGGCATCGCGAAACCTTCAAAAATGGTCAAAATTCTCATCCGAATATCTCGAACGAAGAATAAAGAACAAACAAAAATCGTTTCTATCGCGAACAAATCGTTTACGGGTTATTTTTGTTCGTTCTTCGTTGACCGATTAAAATTTTGTCCATCTTTGAAACGCTTGCCGTTTAATCGGGGGAGTCTGAATTACACGTACCGTCGTCGTGTACGTGATGAGGTTTTTTATTTTTGAAAAATATAAACTCATATCGCTGTTGTTGATTTCTGAGTCAAAGTGTTTCGGAAACATTCGAGGCAGGAAGTAAACGAAGATGTGCGTGATACGATACGACGATTATTTCGACGCTGTATCTCGAAATTTGCGAGACGGTTGAATCGCTTCCGTTTGCACGGGGACGGCAATAAAGAGCAACTTGATTTAAAGGAAACCCAAAACGTTTACCGGATGTTCGGTATCCTACTCGAACGATCAGAACAATTCAATGGTCGGTGCAGCGTTTCCCAAACGTTTCTCAAGTGCGGATCGCTTTGATTCTTTTGCGGCTGCTTGGGTTCGAGAACGAATATTTTCTATTTGGAATCAGAATCACGCAACAGAAAATCAAAATCAAAAAACGAACGTGTAAGTATTATAAAGCGGCTAAAGATTGAAGCTATGTATATTGTACAGGAGAAAGTTGTGTATCTCTTAGGTGTAGAAATTAATTCTGTGCATTTATTTTCAATTCTTTGTATAAGTATATTTTGAGGTCTTCTTCGTATATGTACATATATATATACACTGACGGACAAAATTAAAGGGGCACTGTTTTAAAACGTCATATCTATGGGAGTTTTCAACCGTTTTTGGGGAAACTTCGCGAGGAGTAGTTTTGAAGTGTCCTCTAAATGTCCGCAAAGTTGCATTGGCGAGGGTTGATACGAAGGGGTTAAGTCACTCCCGTAAAGAGGGGCACGTCGAAAAACGCCACTTCTGAAGAGGCCAGGGGTGACGGAAGGGGTTGAAAAAATCAACAAAACCTTTGGGGCGACCCTCCTCGATGCCCTCAACAAAATGCATCTCTCAAAATCCTTCTCGGGCAAACCCACCCCCCACAACACCCACCCCCTCCAAAATCCACAATTTTTGGACTACTGTCCCGAATTTCGGCTCAATGCATTCCCTAGAATCTCCTGATCCAGGAAATGCCAACGCCCACACCGTGCGCCCCATAGGCACCCGTTGGAGGGATGGAACAGTTTGCCACTTTTCAACACCCTTCGTAAGGGAGCACTTCCACACTTCGAAGGGCGATGAAATTCACCATGTTTATTCTCGGTACGTTAAGGATCAATGTTATTTAAAGCTCGTTTCGAAAACTGCCCCTGAAGCTGAACAGGGTGGCCCAGAGTTAGGGGTGGTCCACCCACAGGTGTAAGGGTTGGAACGATGTTTCGTTGCGTGGAACACATGTGATATGGTCCAAGGCATTGGAGTGACACAGTTCTGATGTCTTTTCCCCGCGTGGATAGCATTAAAATACGAAAATGTCGTCTTTTTCGGAAAACCCACCCGCGAGTTTAGGCCTGTATACTAGGTGAACGAGTAACCACACGTCAACGCCGTTCGTGGATTCGAACGCGCGAATGCTTTATTAACAGGTCCCCAAAAATTCGGTTATTTGGAATCACGCTTTCATTGTCAAATCGGAGTAGATTTGAAAAGAGTATTAAGTGGGCCGGACGTAGCCAGCATGCAGAAGTGGAGCCAGACCAGACCGGATTCCAATTTAACGTGAGCTGACCACGTACGGCTGCAGGCCCTCGCTCCACTTCTGCGAGGGCTTGCGTTGACGTGGGGTTACTCGTTCATCTGGTACACAGGCCTAAACTCGCGGGTGGGTTTTCCGAAAAAGACGACATTTTCGTATTTTAATGCTATCCACGCGGGGAAAAGACATCAGAATTGTGTCACTCCAATGCCTTGGACCGTATCACATGTGTTCCACGCAACGAAACATCGTTCCAACCCCTACACCTGTGGGTGGACCACCCCTAACTTTGGGCCACTGATCCTTGATCAGACATGAAATGACATTGATCCTTAACGTACCGAGAATAAACATGGTGAATTTCATCGCCCTTCGAAGTGTGGAAGTGCTCCCTTACGAAGGGTGTTGAAAAGTGGCAAACTGTTCCATCCCTCCAACGGGTGCCTATGGGGCGCGCGGCGTGGGCGTTGGCATTTCCTGGATCAGGAGATTCCAGGGAATGCATTGAGCCGAAATTCGGGACTGTAGTCCAAAAATTGTGGATTTTGGAGGGGGTGGGGTGTTGTGGGGGGTGGGTTTGCCCGAGAAGGATTTTGAGAGATGCATTTTGTTGAGGGCATCGAGGAGGGTCGCCCCAAAGGTTTTGTTGATTTTTTCCACACCCTCCCCTTTAGGGGGGTGAATTAACCCCTTCACATCAACCCTCGCCAATGCAACTTTGCGCACATTTAGAGGACACTTCAAATCTACTCCTCGCGAAGTTTCCCCAAAATCGGTTGAAAACTCCCATAGATATGACGTTTTAAAAAAGTGTCCCTTTAATTTTGTCAGTCAGTGTATATATATATATATATGTACATTATATATACTTTTGCGACGGTATGAAAATGCCGCACTACAGTTCCGAGTTACATCGTCGCTACGGTGTGAAAATGTTGCAACCCCCCGGAGTAGTGTTGCGACTTGGCGCCACGTGGCGCCTCGACTTCTGAAGACGGACGTGCATCTCTGCCCTTCATCTGGCCGACTCTGGCATCGACCTGGTCCTCCACACTCGTCCGTCGAATCGCACAAGAGAATCTTAGATATACCTCCTATGTTCTCAAAGTCCGTCAGATGCTCTCCGAAGCCGCCAAGCTTGAAAGACATGCCCGTTGTAATTTGCTTCTGTGTTCATTAAAACACGAAGCGGCTGGCCGCATTAGGTTCTTCTCTGACGAGAAAATTTTTACTGTGTATGCCAAAGTAAATCGGAGGAACGACCGTTGGCTTGCCCACAGTCCCGAGAATGCCCCTGTTGTGGGCAAAACCAAATTTCCAGCCAGTGTCCGCGTTCTGAGCGTCGTCTCAAGCGAGGGCGACGTCATGCCGCCACACTTCTTTCAGAAAGGCGAAACAGTCAGAAAGGAGGTTTATTTGGAGGTCCTGAAGACAGTTGTGAAGCCGTGGATGGAGACTATGGCTTCTGGAAGACCGTATTTATTTCACCAAGATGGCGCATCTGCTCGCACGAGTCATCTTGTTCAGAACTGGTTGTCTGACAATGTCGACATGTTTTGGTCGAAGGATTTCTGGCCTCCTAACAGTTCCGACCTAAACCCACTAGACTACTTATATACTATATATATACTTTATATATATGTATATATAAATATTCATTCGACATTTAATTCTTCCACGTATTACAACTGTA